TTCCTGCACTGTTTAAAATGAAACTTCTAAGCCCTACATGGATAGAAGTGACGGTGTGTTCAAGCAAAGCTTAGGGGTGGGGTGCTGCCTGTGGTGCTTCTAATACTCAATCATTTTAGTCTCAAGGCACCCCTCACAAAATGCCAGATTTTAATTTTCACTTGTTTTTTGACTGTAGAAGGATAATAGAGCAGTTCTTGTGTTGCAAAGAACTCAGAAGGATCACAACAGGTCTGAACATTTTTAATATAGTGGATTCCTATTTGAAATCTCTGGGCTGATCTTGTGAATCATGTTTGTACACATAACAGTGCTAACATTGTGTGGCACACTGTGACACCCTTAAAAGGATCTCAAGGCACCCTGCGGTGTCATGGAAGCCTGGCTGAGAATCACTTTTCTAAGATCTGCAGGAGAGAAACCTGTGAGCCTCCCATACCCTTTCTTCCTTCAGAAAATGTTGTTATCTCTTTTCCCAGCTGACTGCCTGAACAACTCTGTTTTCTGAAACAGGTTTCCATCCCCTATTAAAATCCATGACATTACTATCTTTGTGGGGGGGGGGTGGGGGGGTGGAATTTGAGATAAGGGAGATTAAGGTTATGAAGGCTGTGTTGTACTTAACTTTTCATAGTTTTATAGTTACATAGTTGGTAGGGTCGGAAGGGACCTGAGCAGATCATCAAGTCTGCCCCCCTGCCATGGCAGGAAAGAATGCTGGGGTCAAATGATCCCGGCGACGTGATTGTCTAGCCTCCTTTTGAAGACCCCCAAGGTAGGAGTGAGCACCACTTCCCTTGGAAGTTGGTTCCAGATCCTAGTCGCCCTGACTGTGAAGTAGTGCTTCCTGATATCTAGCCTGAACCTGCTCTCGATCAATTTATGGCCGTTATTCCTAGTTTCTCCAGGTAGTGCTCGGGGGAACACGGCCTCTCCCATTCCCCACTGGTCCCCCCCGGGTAAGTTTATAGACAGCCACCAGATCCCCTCTAAGCCTTCTCTTGTGGAGGCTGAACAGGTTCAGGTCCTGTAGCCTCTCCTTGTAGGGCCTGCCCTGCTGCCTCCTGACTATGCAAGTGGCCATCCTCTGGACCCTCTCAGTCCTGTCTTCATCCCTCCTGAAGTGCAGTGCCCAGAACTGGACGCAGTACTCCAACTGTGACCAATGTTGCATAGATGGGGAGGATCACCTCCTTGGCCCTGCTCGTGATGTATCTGTGGATGCATGACAAGGTGCAGTTAGCCTTACTGATCACGTCCTCACATTGGCAGCCCATGTTCATCTTGGAATTGATAATGATTCCAAGATCCCTTGCTGCCTCTGCACTGACGAGAAGGGAGTTCCCCAGCCTGTAGGTATGCTGCTGGTTCTTTCTCCCCAGGTGCAGTACCTTGCACTTGTCAGTACTGAAACCCATCCTATTCTCATCCGCCCACCCCTATAACCTGTCCAGATCTAGTTGTAGCCTGTCCCTTCCTTGTAGCATGCCCACCTCTCACAACATCATAGTGTCACCCGCGAATTTGAACAAGGTGCTTTTCACCCCCTCATCCAAGTCACTGATAAAGATGTCGAACATGGCTTTCAGTGAGGAGCATGATTTTAAGTGAGTTGACCTGCTCTTGGTCCCGTGTGTTGGTTAAATGCCAAACATGGACTCCTTTAAAAGACTCACATTTAGGCATTTAAATTAGCATTTCACAGGGCAAGATCTATTTTTGTGCTGCTTTGCCAAACTAAGCATCCAGATGCAGTATTTGTGTAGCCTGCCAGTTTCCCTGGTGCCGCATTGCTTTCCTTAGGGGAAATTAGTGGAATTTCCTTGAAACCGCCACATACAAAATCCCTGATTCTTGCAAGTATAAGACATTACTTATAAATAATGCAATTGAGTCTTGGCAAGCAATATGGGAGGATTGAGGGGAGCTGTTTGTGTACCTTCTTTTGCTGTCTAGGCTCAGTAGCACGCATCACAGATCAGCACTTAAAAGCAGCAGATATTGATTCAGATGACCTGAAGCTCAGATACGTCATGAAGAAAGATCCCAGTAGTGGGCGTCTGCAGCTGACTAAAATTGATAACCTGGTCCAGATCTCTGTCAAGGGACCTGTCAAAAGTTTCACCCAAGTTGATATAAATAAAGGTGAGCAAGTTTCTTGATTCTTTCATTTATGCTGAATAAAACTGACTTTGCCAGCTATTTTACCTCAAAAGCCCTTAAAAACAGAATTCACAGCTAAGGGCTTTGTTTTGCTTATATTAACAGAAGAGATATAGCATCAATTATTAGCTGCTTTAACTGAGAGCAGTGAACTGTACACATTTCTCTTATCTAAAGTAGTCACGCTCGCTATTCACTACTTAGGATTACCATTATTAAAAATAGTATCTTGCTACAGGAACAGGTGAGATCTAGGATCCTGGACTTTCTCAGTTCAATGTGTTGCTTAGAAAGCCACAGAAGTGTTCCTGAGAGCTTTATTTTTAAATCAGCTTGCCTGAACCTGAGGCTACGTAGATCTTGTGTTTGTGTCTCAAAGAGGAGGAGGAATGGGTCCCATTGACTTCTAGTGAACAGTAATGCAGAGTTGTGTTTGCTGTTTGTGGAGATGGGCGTTGACAGCTTTAAGCTAGCTAATTCATATCCCAATAGCAGTTCAACTATGGCAATATGGGCTTCATTGTTGGCTGTACCAACCAGCCCAGGATTTCATGTTTTTGTAGCTGAAGGCCATGCTAGCACATCAATATCCAAGGACCCAAAGTAGTTTATAATCGCTCAGATAGGTCTACACAAGCTGCAGTCACACCTTTGATTTGTAATGTAAATATACCCTCAGTGGGACTTGTTTTCTTTAGTCACTTTGGCACCTTCAAGATTAAGATATTTTTAGCTAACCTCTGAGCTGAGCAGCAAGTTATATTTAAAAAAATATATCCACAATAGCCTTGAGGAGAGATGATGATAAAGGGTGCTGACAGACATGCATCTCCCTGCTCTAAGTCATGACCTTTCACAGAAAGTTCCATGAGTTAGAGCAACTCCCAACCCAACAGACATTCACTGTTTGGTTGTGGCATGGGAGGATATCGAGCTCCACTTTGAAGCCAATCCAACAGAGAGAGGCTGTCTGCCTGCAGTCTCTCTCCCCTAGCTCTGCACTGGTGCTGTCTGCAGGATGGGAAGGGAGGGGAGGGAGCTCTGTATTGGGGTTTGCCCAGCCTGAGCTGGAGGGTGAGGGGACTGGAGGGGTGGCCACAAAGCAGGAGGGCTCCAATCCTCCATCCACCCCTGCTCCAGCTCAGGCTGGGCAAACTGCAGCCCAGAGCTCCCTTCCCTATCTTCTCCCTCCTCCCATCCTGCAGACACCACTGGGGGTGCAGCTAGGCTGCATCATCCCAGCCCTGATCACATGCAGGGACTGACAGAAATTAATGAAGTTGCTCCACTGTGGAGCACCTTCATCTGACCACTCATTACATGAGGGTTAGTTTGTTGTACAATCAGGCACTTTTCAAGTTCTCTGCAGTCATGCACTTCTGTCAGGGCATGGTGTAGAGTGCTTTCAGGGGGCTGATCGTGTGACAAATGTCACTCCTGTCAGCATCTAAAGAGGCAGAAGGAGAAAAAGAAGAGTAGCAGAAGGCAAATCTGTCAGGGAGGATTTGCTTTTCAGTAAGGTGATCTCTGAAAGGGTGTGTCAAGAGGAGGTGGGAAAGAGAAGGGGAAGGGAAAATAACACACAATCCAGAAGCTGTGCCAAACCCAGTGGTCTGTTAAAGAGCTAGCAGGAAGGGTGCTAGGCAGTTTCCAAAATGGGTAGCAAGAACAGACGATGCACATTGTATTTAACCACATCTTCCCCCCTGCTCTCTTTTCAGGGCAAGTGGAATACAGTCATGAAAAAGGGGAGCCAGGTGGGAGCTTTGCTTTTAACTTTGATGTGATCGATGCAGAAGGCAACAAACTGATGGACCAGTCATTCTATATTAGCGTCTTGGGTAAACGATGGCCTACCTAAACATGTGTACTTAAGGGTTATAGATTGATAGGGAGGGGGAAGGCTCACTCTTGTGCCAGCCTATGCATAAAAGATATAAGAGGAGTGATGTGACAAGGTCCTAAAGACCCTAAGTGTGGGTGAAGGAGAAATTCCCTGGCATGGGAGCTGTAGAAGAGCCACTGGTTGTTAGAGTGTTGGAAATGGAACAAAGTCTTTCACCTATAGATTTAAAGACCAGAAAGGGTCATTCTGATAATCTTACCTTATCTGGCATAATACAGACCATGGATTTCCACCAGGTGGTTCCTGCATTAAATCCAGTGCTTCTGTTCTTTTTTAAAGCATAGGTTTTAGAAAGATAACCATACATGATTGAAATCATGCTTTTGACAAAAGATATTTAAAGAAGTTAAACTTGACGACAGTGTACTCCATTTAAGTGCATAGCCTTGGGACTATCCAGACATAATGTAAGCCATGCTTACTACCTGTCCAATGCGGCCAGTGCTCTGATATTAGCAGCCTCAGGACTGACTAGCTTCCCTCAATTTCAAGGCTTGTGAAGAGCCTAGAGCTAGCTTCCTCCACCATTTTCTGGCACCCATTAGTATGGTATTAATAGGATTACAATTAAGTTACATAGCAGACACTTGGTTAGAAAGATACTAAGGACTTAAGTGGTTTTAGTGCTTTCTAATAGGCACATAACCTATGCTTGTTACAATATAGGCAATAGACAACCAATTTGGAGTGGTGCTGTGTTCTGCATTTAAACAAATTATGCACTTATCTGGTACGTATGCATGTGAAATTTACTGTGTTTAGCTTTCTGTTTATCAAAAATTCGAAACCTTTTAAAAATAGTGGCACAGAGAGAAACCACCAATTTGAAAAATAGCTTATTATTTATAAAGGGCCAGCACAAAACACATCAAAGTAAATCAGAGGGACTCCCGTTGGTTTCATGGGTTTTGGATCAGTCCCATTGTGATATGACTGCCACTGAGCTTTCATTAGTGATACTTGAATGTGGCATCACATACCTCATGCCCAAAACAGGTAAAAATAATTTCTCTGAAAATTGCTCCTGTACTTGTGTGTGTGTGTGTGTGTGTGTGTGTGTGTGTGTGCGCGCACACATGTGCATGTGTGCACGCACGTGTATGCATACAAGTACACTGTGTGTGAAGGAGGTTAAGCTGATTGTATCACAGACCCCCTTGCCTTGGTACTTTCAGAGGATAGGCTCCCTCCGTCCATCATTGCTAACAAAGGCTTGGTCTTGGATGAAAATTCAGTGAAGAAGATCACGACACTGCAGCTCTCTGCCACAGACCAGGACAGCGAGCCTGCCAAGCTCCTGTACAGAATAACAAAACAGCCGCAGCTGGGGCACCTGGAGCATGCCGCTTCACCAGGTTTGCAAAGGCATTGACTTGCTCTGCTGACTCTTTCCAACTGCAGAGATTTTCAGGGCTTTTAAAATGTTAAAAGGTTGACTGCTTGAAAAATGCCCTCTGAGAAGAGATCACGGAATTAAATCACCCAGAAGAACACAACCAGCTAGTAACCCAGGGAGGTTAAGAACAGGGTCAGTGGAGAAGAGTCATGCTTAGAATCTGCACAGAAAATTATTATTCCATCATTCAATGAGTTTATTTTCCATTGTGACCTTTACTCAGCAATCTGTTCTGGGGATTATGCCACTATTCTTGTGTGAATCTTCTATATTGTTGGCAGCTCTTCTGGACAGTTGTAGGGCACAGTAAGTGCAGTGCTGCTCGCCCTTGATATGATAAAACGGAGAATGCGGAGAGGCATTCACATACCCCAGTGTAATTTACATCAGGTTTGTATACTGATATAAAATACACCGAGTAGGAACAGACAGATATGCAGCTCTCCTCAAGTAGTAGATGCTATTAAATAATTTAGCCACTAGGTAGCAATTATCAAATGACTTGGGTAGAAATTATCACAAAACCTCAACTAGTGGAATCTATATTAGTAGAGTTTTACGCCTGATTCTTTCAGGGGTAATTCTTCACTGGATTGGATTAAGGTAATCTGCTGTAGATGTTTGTGTTGTCTGTCCATTACTTTTTTAAGTGGTGTGATGCTCATTACCTTGGTATAAGCACTTTCTCTGTCCACACCTAGACATTCAATTATTTGGGGATTCCATTTCATATGCTCAGTTTCATAGTTCCAAAACTTTTATAAAGCCAAAACCAATATCACTTATAACTAGCTATTTCTAGTGGACAGTGGTATCCTAGTTCATCATTTTCTCCAGCACTCACTCATCTCTGTGTATAAACTCCAACCCCTTCTCTCAACAGCATTTAGGAATTGGTAACTTAATTGCAAAGATCCCTGTATGTGATGGGTAGGCTTTATACTGAATTCAGCAAAGACTTCATAGCTACTGCTTTTAACAATTATATTTGCTACTCAAAGCTTGTGCACAAATAGCCTAGAACAGTGGTGGCCACCCTTTTTGGCAGGCAGGCCACAAGCTAAGTCCAAGCGTACTACAGTTTAAGCCCCAACCTCTCCATGAGGGCTGCTCTGCTGTGATCTACTGTTCTGCTCCCCATCTCTCCCTGCTGTACTCTGACCGCCCTCTTCTGCTGCTCTGCTCCCCTTCCCTCTTCTCTTCTTCTGCATGCCAGACAGCAGCTCCCCATGCCACTCGTGGCATGCATGCAATAAATTGACCTATACTTTAAATGTAGTCAAAGGAAACCATTTCTAGAAACATTTTTTGGCCAACACTCTGAAACTTACAAGAGAGTTTCTTGCAAATATATAATTGTACTAGCCAATTGCCCATCAAGAATAATGTGGGAGGTGGGGGGGAAGTGGGCGGGGATGGAGCCCCATGCCCCCCCCTCGTCTGGGCCCGCTCCCCCCTTCCCTCCTGCTGCTTGGGGTCTGGGCCCATTCCCCCGCTCCCTGCTGCAGCGGCAGGGGAGGAGAGAAGCAGACCTGGGTCCAATGCAGAGGACGACTGTGGCCAAGGGTGGGGAGAAGCTGGGCTGCCACAGTGGAGGTGGGGAGCAGTGGGCACAGACCGACCCAGAGGCGGCAGGGGGATGGGAGGAGCAAGCTTGGGGCTGACGCAGGGAGAGGGGCGGGGAAGTAGTGGGGCTGAGGTGGGAAGGAGGCTTGCTCCTCCCCTTCCCCCTTTGCTGCTGCATTGGGCTGGGCCTGCTGCCCTCCCCCTCCACACCTGTGTTGGGGCTGGACCCACTCCTCCCCTTCCTCCACCACTGCTGCCAGGGTGTGCCAGCATTGGTGGCCTCGCCTCCCCCCTACAGCATCCTGCCCCCGCTCTCGCCCCCACACCACCGCCATCACTGTCACCTCCAAGCGGGGGGGGGGCAGGGCAAGGCCATCTCCAGTGGCCTCGCCTCCCCCCCTTCCCTGCTCCCCGGTTCTGTCCGCTCTGTTGCCATCGGCTCCAAGGAGCAGGATGGGGGGGCACCCAGCTGTGCTGGCCTCGCCCCTGCGCTCTGCCCCTTGTGTCCCCGCCATCATGGCGGCGCATTGCCACCTGTCCAAGTGGTTCTTCGTACTCTGATTGGCTGTTACAGACAGACAAACAGACACATTGAGGCTTTTATAATATTAGAATGATTCCATTCCAGGGCCAGTTATTCCAGGATGTTGTGTTCCTGTGATCTTTCTAACGGTTTACTTTAAACCTCTGGGTTCACACAGTATGTTCCTTTCAGTTTAACTTCTGTTTATCAAAGGTTTTCTTTTTTCTCCCCTGTGTGAGCTATCATTAGATGTAGAGGGTGCCTATACACATGCTCTTGGGTCAGGGGAGGTGTTTTAATTAGAGCAGCTCTTGGGAGCTGCTCTAATTGAAACCCCCACAGCATCTTGTATATTCAGCACCCCATGTTTCAAAATTATAGTGGGGGTGTTTTAACTAAAGCTTATTTGATGGACTTTAATTAAAGCACCCGCACCACCATTTTGAAACATGGGACGCAGAATACATGAGACGCTGCAGCACAGAATGCGTGGTCTAATCAGAACGCATCAGAGCACATGTAAAAGTGCCTATGGACTGTACATCTTTGCAGGGGTTCAGAAGGCAGACTGTCCTTTACAGCCTTGTTTTAACAATTGATTAGTGTAATCCAAGGGTGGGCAAAATGATAGATCAGGCCAGCGGCCTGACTCCATTTCCCAGCAGCCCCTGGCTGCATTGCTGCAGCCAATTTCTATGGAGACCCCAGCAGCAGCAGCACGGGTCCAGGGTTTCCATGGAGACCAGCCCCAGCAGCACTGGCAGGATGCATGGCTGGGCAGGGAGCTACTCTGAGGCGCGGGTTGGGATCTTGCAATGATGACAGCGTGGTCTAGAACCGAAGTAGAGCCATGATCTGCTGCCTGTATGCCCCTGTCCAGGGCATGTGGGCAGCAGATCATGGCTCTGCCCTGGCTCTGGACCATGCTGTCACTGCTGCAAGATGCCAGCCCTGGAGCAGCTCCCTGCCCTGCCATGCACCCTACCAGTGCTGATGTAGCTGGTCTCTATGAAAACCCTGGCACCATGCTGCCGCTGCTGGATCTTTATGGAAACCAACCATGATGTGGGCATGGGCTGCTGGGAAATAGAGTCCACTGTGGGCCCTATCCTGCCCACGGGCCAGATTGCCTCCCCACCTCCCTCCCCCACAACCGGTCTAATCTGTCCCAAGTAGAAGATCTTCCTTAAACCCATTAAGTGTATTGGGATAAAGAATAAAAGCAGAAATAAGCAAACCAGTTTGGAGGACATAAAAATATTCAAAGCTTTTGCCTAAAAATGCCAGGAAAACATTGAACGTAACATTTTTTTTCAGGATTGAAATAGCTGATTTAACTTTTTTTCTTCATTACTTCAAATGTGCTAGTTCTGGTTTCACTGCTCTGCCAGGTTTTGGAAGAACAAAAAATAAGGTGTGGTTAAATAGTATGAAAGAGTTTGTTCTTTTGGTTAAATTGTCCAGAAGAAAGTACTCGGAGCTCTCAGAAGGGAGTGTGTTTTCCTGGGCCTTCAAAATTAATGAGCCTGGATCATAAACCTTGGAAAATACGTACTTCTGGGGTTGCTTATTTGATCCAAACCTATGAACAAAACTTTCAAGGGTGGTATTGAAAATAACAGGAGTTAGGGATGTAAATAATTTTGAAAGTCCCATGATGCCTGTTCCTGCATCTCTAGTCACCTAAATACCTTTACAAATCTGGCCCTATGAGCCCAGGTCATTTTTTAATGCTACCAAATCTTTTTTGGCCAAATAAAACCAAGAACCTTTTGCCCATGTTCAGTGAAGGCATGTTTGGCATATTAATGCGTGCTCTCTGAGACAGAAAATCACCTGTTCCATTTAACTTCCTCCCAGATTAGCTTCTCTTAAATGCTCTGAATGGCTACTCCTGAGTCAGTTTGCTGAGACAGTGACTCACCGTCCTATAATTTCACATGTTAGGACTGGGTAGAAGTCTTCCTCTCTTGGTGAGATGGATGCCACTGACTTGATTGAAAACCTGATGGGTGGGATTTTCAGGAGTTGTCTGTACTGCTTCCATTGTAATCTGTGGTAAAACTGGCATTAGACCAGAACAGGTCAACACCAAGTACCTAGAGAGTTTCTGGCTCCTGTTGCTTTACCCTTTTCTCACCATATTTGTGGAACATTTTGCTTCTTGTATTTTTCTAGGCACAAGGATTAGCTCATTCAGCCAAGCAGACCTGGCCTCTCGCAGTATCCAGTACATCCACACCAGTGAGGTTGAGAGACATTCTGACTCATTTACTTTCTCTGTCTCTGATGGAGTGAATGAGGTAGGCCTAACTAAGCACATTCATCTCAGAGTTGATGAAGATTGAGTCTGGAGAACTTTATAGAAATGCTGGGAATACATTGTTCTGATGCTGCATGGGAGACATGCATGCAAATGAAATGAAACAAGCTTCTGCTCCTGATCTCATAACTTAATACTGGCAGATTTTCTTGTTTCTCATGCTGATGGTACTCGGATCACTGCCGGACCACGTTTAGTGTGCGAGAAGGGAGGGATGGCCCTCAGGAGCATTGAAAGCAGTCCAGGATGGCCCTATGAATCAGAATTTCCAAAGATCTTAGATCCAGATTTTCAAGTGCTTAGCACCTGTGCCTGGTGCTTGGCTTCCAATTGGTCAGCTTAATAGGGGCCATACTTCCAAACGTGCTTCAAATCGTAAAATCATAGAAAAGTAGGGACTTCAGAACATCTAGTCCAAATCCCTACACAAGGTAGGTCTTCCTTGTTGAAACCATCCTGGATAAATATTTATCTAAGAAGGTAGCCTGTTCCAATGCTTAACCACCGTCAAAAATGAGATAATTTTTCCTAACAACCAACCTACATTTCTCTTGCTGCAATTTGAGACCTTTACTTCTTGTCCTGTCCCCTGTGGCCACAGAAACTAATCTGTCATAATCATCTTTAGTACCACCCTTAAAATCTTCCTCAGTTTTTTTTTCTGCAGACTAAATAATCCCAGGTCTTTTAGCAGCTCCTTGGGCATGTCTAAATATGTTTACTGCAGAGCTACCTAATTAGCTCTGCAGTAAAGTCTCCCCATCTACATGTGCAGTCCTATTAGGTCTCCGGAAACTAATTTACTCCACCACAGGATAGTACTTGTATATCCTGTGGTGGAGTAAAGTGCTCAGCGGTGTTACACCTGCTAGCACCACAACTGAAAGAGACCTGGGGGTTATGATCAACCACAGAATGAACATGAGCTACCAATGCGATGCTATAGCCGGCAGAGCAAACAATACACTGGCTTGCATCAACTGATGCATCTCAAGCAAGACTAAGGATGTTATCCTTCTGCTTTACTCGGCATTGGTGAGGCTGCAGCTGGAGTGTACTGCATCCAGTTCTGGGCGCCAAACTTCAAGAAGGATGTGGAGAAGCTTGAAATAGTCCAAAGGAGGGCCACAGGTATGATTAGAGGTCTGGAGGACAGGCCATACGAGGAGAGGCTGAAGGACATAGGACTGTTCAGCCTGAGAAAGAAAAGACTTAGGGGGGACTTGGTGGCAGTCTATAAGTATATAAGGGGTGAACATCAGGGCCTGGGAGAGAATTTGTTCACAAAGGCACCCCAGGGGAAGATGAGGAATGATGGACATAAACTGTTAGAAGATTGCTTCAGATTGGACATAAGGAGAAACTTCTTTATGGTTCACATGTCCAGAGTCTGGAAAAAACTCCCCACAGAGGTGATACAGTCACCTATCCTTAAGATCTTCAAAAGATGATGCACAGCTTGCTGGGGTCATCTGACCCAGCAGTCTTTTCTTTCCTGCCTAAGAGCAGGGGGGTGGATCTGATGATCTCATGAGGTCTCTTCCAGCCCTTAACTTCTATGAATCTATAAATAGACATGTGGACAGGGACAGGGACAGAGCTGGCTGAGGCATGAAGGTGCTTCAGTGCAGGGGCTACCTGCTGGCTAGCCCCAAACTGGAGCACCTTTGTGCCCCAGCCAACCCCTCCATAGCATGTTGAGCCATGGGGAGCAGCCCTGAGCTGACAGGCTGACCCACCGTACCCCGTGACAGCCGGAGTGCTCTGACCCAACTCAATGTGCTGTGGTCCTGGGCACATGTGCAAATGTGGTGCCTAGGAGCAATAAACTCCTGTGCCATTTGTGCCAGTTTATTGCATCATGCTAATTGCACATGTAGATACACCCCTTGTAAGTCATGTTTCTCAGACCTCTAATTAATTTAATTGCTCTCCACTGGACTCTATGTTGTCCACATATTTCTAGAAGTGCAGTGACCCAAACTGGGCACATTACTCCAGACGAGGCCTTGCCAGTGCCAAATAGAACAGAAGGATTGCTTTCCTTGACTTGCAAATGACACTTCTGTTAATGCAGCCCAGGCTTCTTTTGCATGAAGAGCATGCTGTTGGCTCATATTGGGCATGTCTACACATGTAGCTATGGCGACATTGTTACTGTACCATGATTTAATACTTCCTTTTGGAAGTACTAAATCATGGTGCAGTAACAGCCCATACTACATCATACACGTGGCACATGGTTATTTTTAGCAGCTACTTCACTGTAGCAGTGTGCTATGCTGGGGGAGCGCATCGCTATGGCAAAGTAGCTGCTAGTCACATGTAGATACCCACAGATGCTACATCACCATAGCACATTACTGCAGTGACATAGTGTCACGTGTAGACATGCTATTAGCTCATATTAATCTTATGGTCCACTGTACCCCTCCAGGTCCTCTTTGCAGTACTGCAGCCCAGCCAGTCATCCCCAAATCTATAGCTGTGCATACAATAATTCTGTTCCAAGTGTAAGACTTTGTCTTTATTCTTATTGAATTTCATTTGATTAATTTTGGACCATTTTCAGTTTATCAAGGTTATTCTGAATCCTAATTCTATCCTCCAAAGTGTCTTCAACTCCATATAGCTCTGTGTGTCATCTATGATTTGCTAAACTTGCATTCAGTTCCATCTTCCAAATCATTCATTAAGATAGTAAACAATATGGGACCCAGGAGAGACCACTTCCTTGATGACCTGCTCCATGATCTTTTCAGGTACCAAAGTCAGACTGGGTGGTCTGTAATTCCCCTGATTTTCCTTCTTCCCTTTCTTAAAGATGGGCACTATATTTGCCCTTTTCAGTTGTCCAGGACCTCAACCAACCTCCATAAGTTTTCAAAGAATTTCAGTGGCTCTGAAATTACCTCATCCAATTCCTTGAGTATCCTATGGCAAAGGTCAGCAATGTGTTCCAGTGGGGGGCCAGAAAAAATTGGCTCAGGTCACAGGCAGGCAGGCACTTGGACCTTGCCATCTCTACTTCTCTCTGCCACCCAGTTGCAGCACCCCCCCCATCTGTTAGAGCCCATGCTTATGCTGCCTAGCTGTGGCAAAGCTCAGAAAGAGCTCTGCCTCTGCCTAATGCTCCTAAAGGGATGCTCTGCAAGGTGCATCTGGCCCCTGGGTCATCAGTTGCCGACCCCTGCTTTAAGGTGTATCCTGTCCAGCTCTGCCAACTTGAAAACATCTAGCTTCTCTAAGTAGTACCTAACTTGTTCTTTTAGTTTTCTGGGCTGCTTATCACCTCCTCTATTCTTGCTACTAGCTGTATTTATCATCTGGTAGCTGACCTTACTCATGAAAACTCAAGTAAAAAAGGAATTAAATACTTCAGCTTTGCTTTTCTCCCCTCTGGCTTTGACCTGGATGCTTTCAACAAGCTTTACCTCCTGCTTTGTAGCGTACTTCAGAACAAGCGCATATCTCTTTTTGTAATAGAGGGACACCACTTCCCTTTTCCCCTTGTTTATCCTTCCTGAATGATGTATACCAACCCAGGATAGTCCCCCAGTCACACAAACTAGTCCATCAAGTCTCGGTTATCCCAATTACATCATACTTTTGTGATTGCATTAGGACTTCCAATTCTTCCTGTTTATTCCCCATGCTTTTTGCATTTGTGCATAAACATCTTGGGTAACTAGCCTGCTACCCTAAATTCTCTGAGAACATTGTTAAGGATACCCTTATTTCCTTCTCTTACTTGTCTTTTATATGGGTTATTTGACTCTCTTACATCTGGGCTTTTGTCTCCAACTGCTGTTGAACCTAGTTTAAAACCCTTCTCACTAGGCTAGTGAGCCTGTATGTGAAGAGACTCTTCAAATGAAAAACCCTTTTGAAGATCTGACCGTGTGTCTCTCTTCTGTGGGGGAGAAGTAATAGCTGCAAAAGGGGAAGGTAAAAAGAGGGAAGAATAGGGAGTAGGAGAAAACCAGTGTAAATCATCCCAAAAAGAAAAGATGGAGCCTTGTAATGTTTATAGAGGGGGAAAATCCATACTCAGAGCCTGGTTTTGACCCAAACTCAATAGATTTGCACATAAACATTGGTATTGTTATTTATGAGATGCCCCTATTGTCTCTTCATACCATCATTGTGTCATTTCAGTCATGTTCTGAGTGGAGAGTGTGCATCATAAAAGAAGTTGTGTGTTTCTTTCCCTTCCAGGTGAGTCAAACATTTGACATCACCATAAACCCAGTGGATGACTCCTTGCCTGTGGTGCAGAATCCAGGGATGAGGGTTCAGGAAGGGGTGAGAAAAACCATCACAGAGTTTGAGCTTAAAGCCACAGATGCTGACACAGAGGTAAGACAGAAATTACTCCCTCCTCCCCTCCCCCCACCCTGTTCTGTTGTACAGTTGATTTACCACAAAAATAGGTTTGTATTCAAAAGAGAGATGATAATTAATGGGTTCCTCCCAGCACACCCTTGGCCTGATCACAGGTGTTAGACAGCTTCAAATGAACAGCTGGTGGGAGGGTCGGTGTGTGTATAAACATAGGGAGTCAGCATTTGAAAGAAGAAAGACCTTGGCATGAGAAACGAAATGCTTCTTGTCTCCTGCCTACATGGCAGGGGGAGGGGGAAAGGTGCAGTGATTCTAACTCTTTCTCCTTCCAGCATGGTCCCATCTTCTCTCTAAATGTCCCAGGCTTAGGACCAATGGCTCTGAGCTCAAGTTTGAGGCTCAAGTCACCTTTCCTTACCACCTTATTCTGAATCTGACTGGCAGCTAAATAAATCCATGGCATAAGTTTTAACATTCATAGGGCTGCTCTAACTGGTTTATGCTCTGATGTGTAACCTCAGAGCATTTCTCCAAGAGGGGAGCAGGAAGCAGTAATAGAGCTGGCTATACAGGCTTTACCCAGCACCTTGCAAGGCACAAAGGGTAATTTTTCTTGCCCCCAATATACCATTGCTTACCAGATCCCATAACCACAGATTTGACTGTAGTTATGGGAACAGTATTTTGCTGACAGAGGAGACAGCACCAATGTTTCTCACTAAGCCATGGAAAGAAGGAGTGCACTTGCAAGCTGCTGCTTCATGAAGTAGAGAGGCAGCATATCATGCTAGGTGACCCTGTTGTCTAGTGCAGCTGGAGTGGCTCCCATGTGATCAGTATTGGTGTCGTCCTGGAGACGGTGGCATTGGGAAATGGCTGTGTTGAGCACTAGTGTCCAGCCATGCTGAGCTGTCTAACCGTTTCTTCCTGCTTCATTTGAAGTTTTGTACCAGGGAGGCTGCCTGATAATGAGGTCATGAACAGTAGCATCCCTCTCTGGACCTACTGAATGGAGTGACCTGCCTCTCCAACTTAAAGAAACAGCACCAGCTTCACAACCCTGCCCTCCTATCTCTTTCCTTTGAGCAGGCTGAATTGGTTACATTCACCATCGTGCAGCCCCCTCGGCATGGCGTGGTTGAACGCACCCACAATGGTCAGCACTATCGCCAGACCACCTCCTTCACCATGGATGATATCTTCCAGAACCGGATCAGTTACAGCCACGATGGCAGCAACTCTCTGAAGGACCGTTTCACCTTCACCGTGTCTGATGGGACCAACCCCTTCTTTGTTGTGGAAGATGGAGGGAAGGAGGTAAGAAAGCACAGGCAGGACAAAAGAGGTTTCCTGGAAGTGAATGAAATTTAGGTGAAGGGTGCCCCTGGCTTTTGACTCAGCCAGTGGCCACTGGCATAGCTCTGTTAACATTGTTGTGGGGCTGCTGGTGTCCTACCTTAACCTTAAATACTGGTGTTTCCCTTGACCTAACATGTGGAAGCTCTAAGTTTTGCATGCTTTACACTGTTTATAAGAGGTGTATATGGGTGGGGGTGTGCACAAATGTGTGTGCTGAGATTATCCGGGTCATCAGCATGAACAGAATGATGCCAAAAGCACAAGCCAAGGATCTGCCGTGAAGTTAGTGGAGAAACACTTGCTCTCTCTCCATCTATGCTGTTCAGTTGTAGAGTCAGTTATAAGGTCATGCATGGTATCAGGGTTGTGCTGTGGATGTCTTTCATAATTTGCAGTTGTCCAGTGTAGTCCTGAATCACTGAAATGAGAGAGGAAAGTCCTCTCTCACTCTCTTTCAACTGCTCTAAGGGAAAGGAAGAGATTTGTATAGCCCAAAATAAAGCAGTACTATTAAGGATGCACTGACAGGGATTTTTGGGCCGATACTGATAGCCGATATTTAACGAGGCATATCAGCTGATACCGTTCAAATTTCTGATACAGCTGCCTGCAGCTGGTAATTCCAGCATGGTGGAAGGGGGAGGGAAGGGGCACGGGGTGGGGGGAAGATCAGTGCCCCCCTGGGTCAGGGAGGGGGCAGGGACAGGCACTGGCGG